CTGCCCCTGCCCAGCACACAGGGCAATGGAGGCTCTGGTTTCTCAGCCTTCACAATGAGGTACACTCTGCTTTTCTGTATGTGCAGTTTTCCAAGCAACATTGGGTCAGTGTTTGCATTGCTGAAAATGCAGGCAGCAAACACTGTGATAAAGTTTACAGAACTGGCCACATGTAACTCAAGCTGGGGCTACTCCTAGGCCTCTGCTGATAGTCCCCTACCAGTGCCCCCAACATAGGCAGCTAATGCTGGGAAATGGCATGACCCTCCCAGGTTCATGGGATAGGCAGGGCACTGCACACCCAGTGTCACCAAGGAGTTATTGAAGAATGAAGGAGCCAGGAGCTTTGTCCTCCAAGGGACCCACATGTAGCCACAGTGGTACGTGGGGCTTGCTCAGCCAGGACAGGTGCTTGGTGGAATTTTGTTGTATTGTCCTGTTTGTCCCTGTCATGCCCCCATATCCTGCAAAAGGTGCCATCCACTCCCGTGAGGACCTGTTGTGCTAAGCAAGAGCAGCTGAATGACACCAGTACTTGGTTGCATGGCCCCTGAAAGCCACTCCTGGCAGCATGCTGCTTATTTATTTTTTCTGGGGACTCATCCTCCACCATGCCGGAGCAGGGAACAATGGCCTTCCTTGTGCACACAGCCACAGCTGCTGAAACTCAACAGGATCCCAGCGGAGCAACAAGCAGGCGGGGCTCCAGGCTCCCCTTCCTCGGCAGGGTCCACGCAACCCTATCTTCCCTTGGGAAGCCTCAGCAAGCCACTTTGAGACCTTGGGATGTGGGAGAGGGAGGGAAAGGGATTGCACCACAAGAGACCCCAGACCCGGCGTGGCAGCTCTGCTCTGTCTGAACAGGATGGGAATGTTCTGTCCACTCAGGATGCCACGGGAGGTCTGAGCAAGCCCTGCTTCCTGTGAGGCAGCTTGTCTCCCACCACCCCAACCCTGTCATCCTACCTCCCAGCACCTAGGTGTGCCTCTGACTCCAGCCATTATAAATCCATCCCTCTGACCATTGTCACTCCCTAGTGCTGGAATTCTGTTCCCACATCTGCAGAGCAAGACGGCACATAAGCACTAAAGTCTGGGTAATGTGCCCCCATCAAAATGCTGTGAAGCTACTTGGTGTCTGCCACCAAGCCAACTCCACCTGCCCCAGCTGGTGAGAGAGCTCAGTGGGGCACGGATGGCACAGAAGTGATGGCAAATATTTTATTTTATTTTTTGTGACCAGCTCAGCCTGCCCTGGGGGTGGAGCAGGCGCAGCATGTGGTGCCAGGGATTGAACCACAGTCCATGAACTTTGCCTGAGCTTGCCTAAGCAGGCACTTTAGAGTGCTGAGCTGTCTCGCCAGCCCAATGGCAAACATTTTAAAGCTTTCAATGATACAGTCTTCTGCTGCATGAGTGCCATAGGTTTGCCATCACTGGCACAGAGGTTGTAGGGTGAAGCCACATCTTCCTTACAACCCGTAGTCTCCTGTCTGTTCATGCTGCGTGGGGACAGGTTTACTCTGCCGCCTCCTGCTTCCTGAGTTTTCTCACCTATGAAGTGTGGAGGAGATCCGAGCACATAACCAGGTTTCTGTTGCTGTGACCGAATACCTGAGAGGAACAAATGAGGAAAGTGTAAGGAACAGTGCAAGGCAGAGACCAGCTGAGATCCCCATGTTCTGTAAAGACAACATGGCTTGGAATGTATTGTGCCTGGGTGCAGGCACACAGGACAAAAGGGCCATCTGCAGGGAGCAAAGAGAAGCGGGCGTTTTGTATAGGGCTGGAAAGAAAGCAAGGGACATTGGGTGGGAAAGTAGTCAGAGTTTTCTGGATGTCTTATGCTTCAGTGGGCAAAGTCCTTTAGGTGTCTTGTGTAAACGTTTGGGTGTGTTCAGATGTCCAGGTGTTTGGAAAATTTTGTGCTCCATCTTGTCTTTTTCACGACATCCAGTGTTTGCTGAGGGCACCAGTGTTGAGCTGAGAACAATGTACCTGCTGGCAGACAGACTGGGTGTCGAGAGTCCTGTCCAAACTGAGCTTTACAGGAAGGTTTATTCCAGCTCAGTTTTGGAAGTCTCAGTTCGTGGTTGGCTGGTTCTGTTTGCTTTTAGCCCCATGGGAGGTCGGAAACATCATGGCAGAGGAAAGCTGGTCACCTTCTAGCTGCCAGAAGCACAGAGAGAGAGCGGGGGGAAGAGAAACAGCTCAGGAGGAAACAGCCAGAAACAAGGTATAGTGCCCAAGGACCCACTCTCTCAAATGGAATCATACCTAAGCTTCCAGCACTGCCCACTAGCCTATCAAATTATGAATATCATTTTTTAAATGTATTTAGTACATGGTCTACAGGGTCTCACTTACTACAGAGATTGGACTCGTAGTGATCCTTCCTGTTTTTCAGCCTCCCAGATGCCATATGCCGTCTCATTCACGTCTCATTCGTGGGGGTCAGCGTGCCCCAGGGGCAGGGCCAGTGCAGCAGGCCAGGGATCAAACCCCCAGCCCTTGTGTCTGCCTAAGCAGGCTTTTTAATCTGCTGAGCTATCTGGCCGGCCCCAAATTATGAATATAAATAGTCCTATGACCTAGTCATTTCCCCAGGGTCCGTCATCTGGCTCCTGAACCTTGAGTACATGACCTTTGGGGACAGTTTAGGTCCAAACCATATCAAGGTACTTCCTCTGAATTTGTCAACCCCTGCCTGGAGCGCAGCACCACCCCTCATCTGGAGCATTCCCTGATCTGAAGATTCCTCCCATCATTAAAATACTCAGGTTATGAGCAATACCCTATGTGAAAGGCACCCATTTGCTATGTTACGCAGATTCTCTTATGATAAAACCAGAAAAATTGTTATACAGAGAGAACAAAGTCCAACCTTTCCTGATTGATGCCAGAAGAGGGAATTTGAGGAAGTCTCGGGGCTCAAGTCCTAGGGCTCTGTGTCCAGGGCAAGGAAAACTGTCCACAGCCACTACTCTAAAGCCCTAGCTTTAGTGCCAGCTGTCTGGCATCTTCCACAGCTCCCTCTGGAAATGCAGAGGGAAGCTGGTGTGAGAGGCTGGTGCTGCTCCCCCTGTACGTGGCTGCTCTCCTGTGGTCTTCATCTGTACAAACTCCACTTATCCCACAACTTTCTGTAAGTGGGACCACAATGTGGGTGCCTCGTGTGAATTGTGGCTCACCTGGCAGTTTTGAGATCTGTCCTGATAGCGTAATGGTCACCAGGGGGAGAGGGGGGCACAGTGACTCACAGGTCCCTCCACCCTAAAACTGGGCCTGTTTCTCAGTCTTGATGATGGAGTAGGTGCTCTGAAAAGCTTAGTGTGTCAGGGAAGGTGAGATCCTCAACCTGTCTCCCGGAACTGCAGTTCTGTCTTGGCCCTTCGGTGGCTATCTACAAAACATCCTGAGCAAGCACCAACAGGCAGGAAGGGGTGGGTTTCTTGACACCCCACTATAGCTACAGGCTCCCACCTGTGTAGAAATGGATCTCACGTAAAGCAGTTCAGATTTACATAATCGTTGTCAAAGTAGTAGAGTTCCCACATTCCCCACACCTACATTCCCATTGTCAGCACCTTGTGTCAGCATAGTTTGTTCACTGAACCTTGTTAACTGACATCCATACTTTATTCCCATATCCTGAGTTTCCACTAGTGTCTTTTCCATGACCCCTGGGCTCCATCAGGATCCTGGTGACATTGAGTGGTCGTGTCTTCTCTGGTTCCTCTGGGCTAAAGGTTTCTCATGCCTTGTTTTTGAAGCCTGGATGGTTTGAAGTGATCAGTGTTTGTGGTACTCCCGGGATTGATCTGTGTCCTCTTCATGATTAAATAGACTGTGTGTGTGTGTCTGGGAGGTCTCAGATGAGCACCTTCCTGCCACATCCTACTATAGACTGAGGCTGTGAGCCTCCATCTTGAATGCTTGTCAGGGGCTGAACTGTAGTGCCTTCCCTTTCTCTCCTGTGCTCCGCGGGAGGTGGAAGATGGGATCTCTGTGTGTTACAAGGAATTCTGCACAGGGAATTTATCTCTGGTCCCTGTTTATTTATTGTATCAATTATGTCAATGTGGACTCACAGGTATCTGTTTTATGCTTGGTGATATAATTCAATGCTATATATTAACTTAATTTTAAAGTAATTTGTAATGTACAGAAAAGTACAAGGACAGCAGGAGCACTCTCCTCCATCCCTGGGACCCTCTGTTCTCCTCACTCTGTGCTCCCACTCACCTGCATTGCTGTGCTGACTCTGACCCTTTGGGTAGTCAGCACATGGGAAGCACATGGCCCTGTCTGGGGTCCCCAGAGCCCAGCTGAGAGCCTGGAGGAGATGAGGGTTCCCAACACTCTAGATTGGTGAACTGGCAAGAATAAAGCTAGTAGCCACCCCCAGGGAGAGGTTCACCTCACTTCAGCATATGTAGGGATGTGGGGCTCACCTTGACAGAAGCATCAAAGATGACCCTTCTCACCAAGTTTCCCATACAGGATCCCAGCAGGAAGAAGAGCTCATATTCTCCACACATAGGGTTAACCGTCCTGTTTCCTCAGAAAACTGACCATGTCTGCCATCCCCTGGCTGCAAGTCTTGCCCAGAGTGGACTGTGCCTTGCTGTGGAGGTTATTTAGCCTCTGTAGAACTATTCCCACCCCTAGGGAACATTTCAGCCCAGAGCTCTCTCTTTGCACACAGACCTCAGGATTGAAGGCCATGAATCCAGGTGTAGGCTCAGATACAATGCTTTGCAGTGTCCTGCAAGGATGGCACACAGCATCTGACTTGGGCCAACGTGGGACCTTTCCTAAAGTTACAAGGTCCTGGGTCCCTCAAGCAGAGCTCCAGATCTTGGATCTCATTTTCCATGAAGACGTTCAGTGACCCTGACATCTTTTGTCTCGGTGTTGTAGGTTAACCGAGTCCGGGAAGTGATTTTTCTATGCATTTCCCCCCATTGACCTTTGTACATCTCTCACTGTTATTCTAGGATGGGAGTCACAGCTGCTGGAAACAGGGTTCCTGGGAATCTTCCTCTGCCCCCTTTGGACACTGTCCCGGCTGCCCAAATACACCCCCACATCCTTGATTGTCCTATGGGGCTTCCGGTGGCTGATTTTCAGGATCATGCTTGGAGCAGTAAGTAGAACTTTTATTTGACCTATTTGGGAGGTAAAGCCAACCAGAATATTCCAGGCAGCTCTGTGGAGCTGTGTGCTGGCTGTTATGGGCAGTATCCTTCCTCCTAACCTGTGCTGCCCTCTCATGGCATGGCCCATGCCAAGCACTGAGGCTGCAGCTCTCCCAGCCACAGTCGTGGTCAGGAAGCAGCTGCCTCTTCAGTCCATTTCTGCAGACTCCAAGAGGGGCTGCTGCTTTCTCTACTCTCTCCTCCTGGCACATCTGCGACAATGCCAAGATCATTTCTAACTCCTGCAGCAAATGAGTGGACATGTTGCTGTGTAAAGAAGGAAACACATGATCTGTCCAACCCACCCCGGGGAAGCTGCAGCTGCTGCTCTCCACGTGCAGTCAGGGCTTCTCTCGGGCACATATAGTTTAGGTTTGGGGATGTCTCTGTTATCCCAAGGTGCTGTGACTCGTTACACAATGGCCAACTACCCCATCCATGTGTGTTTGCACCCCACTGGGGACCTGAACCAGGCCTCTTTGGTGCCTGTCTTTTTATGCCCTGCTATTTCTTTCTGGTACTAGTAGAGATTGAACCCTTTTTATTTTTTAAATTTTTGTTATTCATTTTGTTTTCTTGAGATAGAGTCCCACTGTGTAGTTCAGGCTGGTCTTGAATTCACTTTGTAGCTCAGACTGTTCTCAAATTCATGATGATCCCCTTCTTGCCTCTGCCTCCTGAGTGCTGTGATTGCAGGTGCCCACTATCACCCCCAGACCCCAGACCTGTTTAATTTTTGTTTTTTAGGGAGACAGGGTCTCTCTCAGTTACTAAATTGCTTAAGCTAGATTTGAACTTACAGTCCTCCTGCCTTAGTTTCCCAGAGTTCTTAGATTCTAGGGGATATCATTGTATCTGGCTCCACTGAGTTTTTCAAAACAAAGCAATGAGGGACCCATAGAGAAGAGCTTTCCTCTTGAGACGAAGATGCACCCGTGGCTGTCCAAGCTGCTGTTGCCTTTCTTCCTGTCATGCTGACATAAGCTCGACCCCAGTATCCCTGGTGTAGTGATGAGTGATGGCGCATAAATCATTGCTTAACATCACATGAAGAAACTCAGAAGGCATATGAAGGATGTCAAGGGACAGCTGGCAAATTGTTTCTGAGGCCTTGGTATCTCCAGCAGCCTTCCCAGATTACTGTTTTTATGGGCGGACTTTGGAAGCCGCTAATTTTCAGGATCCCACTTACTCTTCACTATCTGAGGCTTGTCATCTGGGCGCAGTGGCCCTCTGGCTGACTACTTCGTATCTCTGTCATGTGGGCCAGGGGCTTCCTGGGAGGTGCTACAAGTAGCCAGTGTAGCTCACCACATCTACTTACACAGGACCAGTAGCCCCCACTGTCCCCGAGAAGCTGTGGCCTAACCCAGCCCATGTCCCACCCAGGTTAGGTATGTAAGGGGTCATGGCAGCCCAATGGGAAGGCAGGTAGGTGTGCATTAGCCTCAGAGAAGCAAGGGGAGCTGGTGTGTCTGGTAGTCCCATTCCATCCTCCCTGCCCCCCAGGGGAACACAGGTAATACAGATAATTGGGTTCCATCTGAGTCCCAGTCCCACAGAGACCATGTGTTACTGGGGAGAGATGAGTGCCTCTGTGGCTCCTGTTGGCACAGTATTCATGTCCTTCATTGTCCCTTGATACAATGAGACTGTTTTAGCCAGGCTGTTTCCCTCAGACTTCAGTTCAGGCTCTTGCTATGGCTCATCAGCACAGGATGTTTGAAATGTTCCAAAGGGAAGTGGATGGAGTTTTCTTAGGTGAGACGGTGTGACCTAACAGCCCTGGATGAGGCTGAGCTCTGGAGAGAAGCCCAGTCCTGTAGAAAAGTTATGCTCCAGGGAGAGACCCAGCTCTAGAAGACCAACCCTAGGAAGAAGACAGGCCCTGGGGAGAACCTGAGCTCCAAGGAGAAGCTGCTTGGAGAGAAGCCAGCTGTGAGGGAAAACCTTCATCTATGGAGAAGCTGAGCTCTGGAAAGAATCCAAGCTCTGTGAAAAACTAGCCCTGCAGAGAACCTGAGCTCTGGGGAAAATTTAGCTCTCTAGAGAACCCCTGAGGAGAAGATGAGCTCATAGAAAAGCCCAGACTTCTGGAAAAGCTTAACTTTGGAGCAGAAGCTGAGTCTCAGTGGAGAAACCTAGCCCTCTGGAGAAGCCCACCTCCGGGAAAGAAGTTCAGTCCAGAAGAAAAGAGCTCTGCAGTGAAGCTGAGTTTTGGGAAACAAGTTGAGCCCTGAGGAGAAGCTGAGCTTTAGGGGAGAAGCCAAGTTCCAGGGAGAAGCTCAGCTCTGGAATGAAGGTAAGCCCTAGAAGAGAAGAAGCCTAACCCTGAGAAGAAGCCGAGTCTTGAGAACCCAAGCTCTGGAAGAGAAGCTTACCCCTGTAGAGAACCCCACTTCTGAGGAAGAAGCCAAGTCTGAGGGAGAATCAAAGTGCTGAGGAGATTCCCAGATCAAGGGGAGACAGTGAGTCTTGGGGAGAAGCTTACCTCTGGAGGAGATGCTTAACCCTGTGGAGAATGCCAACCCTAGAGGCAAGCCAAGCACTGGGGACAAGCCCAGGTTTCTGCAAAGAAACTGTCAACCTGCTCTGTACACAGTTCTGGTGCCAAGAGTTGAATGAACCCCCAGGATGCTTGGCAGAATGCAGTAAGTCATTAGCACTTTCTGAAGTGCCTTTTATGGCATTTTGATTGACTGTTAGCACCAGCTGGATAAAAATTACCAGGTGCACTAAAAGGTATAATTACCCGACATAGTCTTAGGTTGGATATTATTAATCTTTCTTCAGAGGGAAGCAGAAAGAGAGTGTTGAGTTGATAAGAGATTGGCAGCTGCACATCCCTATCTGTGAGGTGGGCAGATGTGGCAAGTCTAACCCTCCTGTGACTCTGCCACCTGGCTTAGACTTGGGGCCCTGGGATTGCTGAGACTTGTGCTCAAGATTGGCACATGTGGTTTGGTGATCTGGCAGTCTCATGTGCCCTGAAAACTGGTAGCTTCCTTGGAGCTGAATCTCAGAGGGAGTCCCATGGCCACAGTATGGCACAAAAGAAGGACGTACAACCCATGTGCTTGGGAGGCCTAGCTGGATGTGGGGCCTGTGCCATTCCCAGGAATCCCTGCACATGGCCTTTTGGCTGACACAGGCTCCCTGCTCCCTGTGAGGCCAGCTGCTGTCACATCAGACCTGGACAGTGTGGGTGGGGTTATCAGGGCCCCAGCAGGGCTTCAGCGGGGCCATATACTGGGCCATGGGACAAGGTGGGGGAAGGTAGAGAAGGGCACTCATGTTGGGTGAAGGTTACTGAGAGTGAGGGTTTGTATGCAGGAGAGCTTTTGTGGAACTTGGCCTCACTTCCCCTAGAGTCTGGCAAAGAATGTAGAACCTCAATCTCAACATGAGAAGATGTCAGCTAGCCCTCACCCAGGGTGTTCTTCAAAACCATCCACCAGCATTGTAACAGTGTCGAAGTCACAGGAGCCAAAAAAGACAGAAGAAGTCAGTCTTAGGGACACGGCACATGTGTGCAGTATGGCAATAGGAGTGGACCTTCGGGCAGAAGGGACATTGCCCAGAAACTGGTGAGATCCAGATGTGGTTCTTGGTTATAGTCATCCTGACAAGTGTGCAGTGACACCCCTATGTGGATGTGATCCGTGTCATTCTCATGAGGAGAGATGCTAAGCCTCTATCTTAGTGACCTTTCTCATTGCTGAGACAAAAATACCTGACACCTGAAGTTAAAGGAGGAAAGGTTTATTTTGATTCACAGGTTATTGAGGTTTCAGTCTGTAGTTGGCCAACTCTAAAGCAGGCTGACATGACAGAGGGGTGTCACAAAGGAGAAACAGCTCATGGCAGGCAGAAGGCAGCAGCCAGCAAAGTAGTGAGACAGCACACACAGAAAGCAGCCATCTCCTGTCCTTAGGGTCTACCCTGGCTACACATCCTTAGGGCAGGTACCACTCACACCCAGCATGGACCTTCCCGTTATCCATGCCCCAAGTCAGTGGAGCAACCAGGCAGTGAAGCAGTTAGTAATCATACATTCTGGATCCCAGCGTCACACACCCAATCCCAGCATCGCACATTCTAGATCGGGCCACCTCTGAAAGCCCTACCTATGACTGCATGAGACTTTGGGGGATCATCTAGACATAAGCCCTTACAGCCCTTTGGTTTTTTAATTGGTTTCTTGCTGTTGGTTTGTAGGAGTTCACTGTACTATCATTAGCATTAACTGTGAGCACATACATGGTTAGTATATATTCTCTCCCATTATGGACTTGTCTTCTCTCTGTTGATTGTTTTCTTGGCTGTGCAGAAGCTGGTTGGTTGTAGTCCCAACTGTGTCATTTTGCTTTTATTGCCAGCGCTTTTGGTGTCCAATCCAAGAACTTACTGGCCAGACCAATGTCAAGGAGCTTTTCCCGCTCTAGCATAGGTATGTTGGTTTCAGCTCTTACATTCAAGTCCCCAGTCCATTAAAGCATGGTGTGACTTAAGAAACTTGTGTCATTCTCCTGTTTTGCCAATACTATTTGGGGAGAGACTGTCCTTCCCCTGTGGTATGTCTTTGGTGCCCTAAGGTTGACCTTGCATAGATCGATGGGTTTGTTGCCAGGCTCTCTGTTCTGACACAGTTGCCCATGTGTCTATTTTTTTTTTACTACTCCATCCAGTTCTGATTAACTTTTCTTTGTGGTATAGTTTGAAATCAGGAAGCGTATGACATTCAGCATTTTCATTTTCTCAGGATCACTTTAGCTACTGATAGTTGTGGGGGGAGGTGTTGGGGTTTTTTGTTTATTTGTTTGTTTGTGGTTCCATACAAAATATAGGATTTTTTTTCTATATTTCTGAGGAAAACACTGGTGGAATTTTGTTAGGGATTGCACTGAACCTACTGGTTACTTTGAGTAGCACAAATAAACAAATGCCA